TTAGAGGAAAGATAGCCTGCAAAATCAGTGTCAAGTATTAGATCAGTTGGTACTAATTCAATACAAATCCATACAAATCAACAGCTGTCCTCTCTGTCTCACATAACCATCATTATAACCATTTGAAGGTATACAACTTTTCCTCTGAATCTATTTTAAGACAAACACTAAAATAAACTGCATCAGTCATCCCTAAGACCTAATATGTGTGTACCAAAGTGTCATATTAAGTGCTCAGTGTAACAGTGATCTAACACACATACAGTGGAAAACATGCACAACGTGCATTTCAATGATATACTGCACATTCGTCACTGGCAAAATGAAGCTGCCTCCCCCTCCAGTTTATACAGAGAGTCTGAATAACACCCAAACAATAGTCCGCCAATCTGCCTCACAACTAGGCGTGAACGAAAACCTGTTTAAAGACTCATAAATAGATGTGGCAGTACTATACAATATTGTGTGGAAAACACAACCTAAAGAAATAGTACTATTTATATATATATATATAAAAAAACATTCTCTATATCTTTCTCTATAAACTGCATGATGTTGTGCATTTTCCTAAAGAAAACATGTGTGAAATGTGCACTTCCTATTATGGGATTCTGGGAAACAAACATTAAGATGGGAATTATGTATTTTTGTGTGTTTTTGCTGTTGTTGTAAATGGAGATATTTTCTGTATGCTGGAGATGGTTGGCTTACCACACCCAAGCCATGCTTGCAGTCGGTCAAATGGGTCTTCCATCTATCTTTTGAACCACTGGACCAATTTGTATGATTTTGACACGTTTGTATTTGGAGTACGCTGATTCTAAAAATGTAAGTTTTATGTGAATGTGATGTATACTTTTAAAGTTATGCATATTGTGTAAAACTGTGTATTTTCCTGCCTGTGACAATTACGTTAGCCCACTGTGTTCAGTAATTGTATCACAGGCAGAGTGGAGGATTTCTGCTGGTATGAATGGGAGTGTTTAGCTGTGTTGTAATGTATTGATTGGTTTGTTCTTCAAAACCCTGTGGGCGGTACTATGTTTGTAAAATGGGCATCAAAGGAGAGTGTTTGATTAAAAGCTTCAGTTCTACTTCACCCTGAATTTGGAGTGCCGTCTCTTATTGGGGGAATCTGCTACAAGCAGGGCTCGAGTCCTGCAGGAACGCATGGGAACGGCGTTCCTGCACTTTTTCTAAAGCAGGAATGCCGTTCCTGTTACCTGTCCTGCAGGACCGGCCCTGCTACCTGCACAGAGGGGCCAGCACACGCTGTGTTCCCTCTCCAGCTATAACTCTCGCGAGACCCGCGGCTGTTTCCATGGCAACGCTCCGCACAGGCGAGTCTCGCGAGAGTTAAAGCTGGAGAGGGAACACAGCGTGTGATGGCTCCTGTGTGCAGCGGATGGCTCCCTCCACCGGACCACCAGGCGATCTCCCCCCTCCCTGACAAGGTAAGAAGCAGGGAGGGGGGATAAATACAAATTATACATAAAGTAAAAAAATGCTTCCCCCCCCACACACACCCATCATCCAGCACTCACACACCCATCATCCAGCACTCACACACCCATCATCCAGCACTCACACTCACACACCCATCATCCAGCACTCACACACCCATCATCCAGCACACACACATCATCCAGCACTCACACACCCATCATCCAGCACACACACATCATCCAGCACTCACACCCACATCATCCAGCACTCACACCCACATCAACACTCACACACCCATCATCCAACACTCACACACACACACCATCATCCAGCACACACACACTTATCACATCCAGCACTCCACACACCCATCATCCAGCAGCACACACACACACACACACATCATCAACACACTCACACACCCATCATCCAGCACTCACACACCCATCATCCAGCACTCACTCACCCATCATCCAGCACCCACACACACACATCATCCAGCACTCACTCACACACCCATCATCCAGCACTCACTCACACACCCATCATCCAACACTCACACACCCATCATCCAGCACTCACTCACACACCCATCATCCAGCACTCACACACCCATCATCCAGCACCCACACACACATCATCCAGCACTCACTCACACACCCATCATCCAGCACTCACACACCCATCATCCAGCACTCACTCACACACATCATCATCCAGCACACATACACACATCATCCAGCACACACACACATCATCCAGCACTCACACACATCATCCAGCACTCACACACACACATCATCCAGCACTCACACACACATCATCCAGCACTCACACACATCATCCAGCACACGCACACACTGCATTCATTATACACACTCTTCACTCACTACAAACACACTACATTCACTATACACCCCCTCTGCATTCATTATACACATTCTGCACTCACTACACACTACATTCACTATACACACTCTGCATTCACTACAAACACACTACACACACTGCATTCATTGTACACACTCTGCACTCACTACAAACACACTAAATTCATCATACACAATTTGCACTTAATACAAACACACTACATTCATTATACACACTCTGCACTCACTACAAACACACTACATTCACTATACACACTCTGCATTCATTATACACACTCTGCACTCACTACAAAAACACTACATTCACTATACACACTGCACTCACTACAAACACACTACATTTATTATACACACTGCACTCACTACAAATACACTAAATTTTTTATACACACTGCACTCACTACAAATACACTACATTCATTATACACACTCTGCACTCACTAAAAACACACTGCATTCATTATACACACTCTGCACTCACTACAAATACACTACAATTATTATTCACACTGCACTCACTGCAAACACACTACATTTATTATTCATACTCTGCATTCACTACAAACACACTACCTTCATTATACACACCCTGCACTGCACTATATGCATAGGAGTGTAATTTAAAAAAAAAAAAAAAAAATTTTAAGGGGGGGGGGGGGGAGGCGGGAATCTTGGGTGAGTTCCCACACCTTTTTCTCCAGGACTTGACCCCTGCATAAAAGGTTTACATAGCAAAGTTTACTGAGAGAGGCAGGATCAAATTACAGGGGTGAAGCAAAGAACGCCATCATCGATAAACATTATTAGGTGCTACTGATGCCAAAAAAAATTTTTTGTCTTAAAGAGAACTGTCATGACCATTTTTAATATAATTTAATTTTTTTTTACATTCTTTATTTTGTAGTGCATAGAATAACATACACAATTGCTGAGATATTTCACTAGAGTATATACAACAATAAAAGGATGTAAGTGGAACAAGAATTATCAAGAATATTAAACATTTTATATCAAACGGGAGAAACAGAATTCTATTAGATTAGGCAGAGAGAAAATGAGAAAAGTTGTAAAATAGAACTGTTGTTAAAATTCAAGAGCTAAATACCACTGGAGGACTTAGGTTTAACTGCTCCAGAAGATCAATTATGCACAATCACGTTATAGAAAAGCTGGTACATGTCAAACAGTGTGTGCAGTAAAATGTATTTCACATTTATGCACATGAACACTATTGTAAGATAATATATTACCTAATAGGGTCATTTCCATGGCAGTCTAATTTGATGGGATTCAGATCAGTCCACATTGGAGAAGGAAGAATATCCAAATAAGTTACTTTGGTCTCTTGAGGCAAAACATAAATTATTTTGAGAGAAATGGGCTTGCTCGAACTCTTGTCACTTCAGACAAAGTTGCTGAGCAATGTTCTTAATATTTCAATATGTCACTCTGTCCATCTTCTGATAGAAAATACAACTTTCATGACATTTGTTTATTCAAAAGTGGAAATATTGCAGACTAAGCTCCTCACCCCTTAGTAGCAATACCTAAAGTATTTGGTCTCCCGCAGGATATGTTTGCACAGATAATATCCATACAGAGGAAACAAAAGATAGTCCTCATGACTTTACATCTTAGTGCCAAGCTAAATGTGTAGTTTGCATAAAGCAAAGATCCCAAGGTGTCTTTTGAAGATACCTTCTGGGTTCCTTGACCTAATCAATATCTTCCCTCCACTAATCCTGTTGTCGACTAGATCTCCAAGAAAGAAGAGATGTCAAAAGACTCAGATATGCTGGGCCAAGAGGAACAACTAGCTGTGACCCCAACAGTTAGAGCTTTAAGCATGATTACCCCGGTAATGTGCACATTACATGTGATCAAGGCAGATGTGCGTCTCATATTCTGTATGAATAGAAAGTAGGACTTTTTAGCTATTATAAACCTTTTGTTTTACAGAGTGCTGCAGAAAATCTAGGCAATAAACTATAAGGTAAACAGACTTTAATTGAACTGTATAGATCCTAGCATCACATCATGATGTGGCATATTGCTTATACACTTTTTTTTTAACCCCTGAGTGGTATGTCAATCTATCACATACAACTGCCCCTATAGAACAACTGACATTCCTTAAAAAGCCCTGGAAATGGAACCATCTATATCAGACATTTTTCCAGACATTTTTCCAGCCACTCATACAACTCATTGAATTCCAAAAATAATTAAAGACTCACCCATCATTATAAACACTGTGTATGTGCCTGTATTTCAAGCCACCATTCTTGTATATAATTTAAGGGTAAGTTTGGAATATGTATCAACCCAGACACAGAATAAGCACTGCTCTGAGAGTGAAGGTAATAGGTAGAAAAATAAACACTTTTTCTTACCTTGCTGCAGCAAGTCAGAGAAGCACAGATCCCCCAGTTCCGGATAAGTGAACCGTCATGCCCGGGACTTGCAACACCAAATTGTCGAGGATAAATCATCATTTAATTATGTTCAGGGGAACCCAAATCAATTCAAACGCTTGAAGAAGCAATAAGGCACACATGATAGTTGTGAATCCAGAAGAATTGCTTCTAGCTTTAATTGGGGGCAATTAGATTTATACAGTGAGGATACGTGCTTACGTGCAAAACGTATTTACTGTTTTTAAAAGGAATGTAAAAAAAGACATATATCTAAATGTCACAAGATAAGCAGTCTACAAAAAGTACTCCAGTCGGGGCTAGATTTTATGGGGAAGACGAACTAATAGAGGACAACGTTTATTTAAACATAAAGCATATCATTATCCAAGTTAGCCAATTTTATTACAGACTGGACCGGAAATGGCATCTTTAGCTTGAGCTTTGGAATCAAGGTGCATTCCGTCACACAACTCTTCAAAAAGGGTTAAAGTTTAGTTCTATATTTAAAATGGTTCAGTAGTAGTACAAATTCTACTGCAGTAGAATAACTCAGGCTTATGAAATGCATGGCAAAAATGCAATGCTTTGTCTGATACAATAGTCCACTAGGAGATTTCCTGGTGGACTGTTGTATCTAAGCGGAACCAGACTGCAATGAGTATGTAGGACATAGCAAAAATGAAAAGAAAAAAATTTGATTAATGTACACAATAGTCCTTGTAATGAAATATTAAGTATAATGGTATAAAGTGAAATGGATACAGTTTATTTTGTTTATATTTTCATATTGTTTTCAAATTCACGATATCTCAATGCCTCGTGAATAATCCTCTTGGTTAGTGATGTCCCGAACGGTTCGCCGAACGGTTCGCCACGGACTCATCATTGAGTAAACTTTGACCCTGTACCTCACAGTCAGCAGACACATTCCAGCCAATCAGCAGCAGACCCTCCCACCTCCTGGACAGGATCCATTTTAAATTCATTAGCTTAGTGAGCTGTCCAGGAGGTGGGAAGGTCTGGGAGGGAGGGTCTGCTGCTGATTGGCTGGAATGTGTCTGCTGACTGTGAGGTACAGGGTCAAAGTTTACTCAATGATGAGTCTGTGGCGAACCGTTTGTGGCGAACCGTTCGCGACATCACTACTCTTGGCATATTTGCGAATGTGGGAAATTTAGAATTGCAAACATTAGGATGGATAACTAATTTTGCAAGTAAATATTCTGTTGTAATATGAGCAAAGGTGGGGACAATTACAGTAATAATTCAAATTCTCCTAATTGCAAATTCAGTGCTGTGCCATGTAACAACAATCACATTCTGTGAAAATTAAAAATTATATTCTTGCTTTGCAGTCTTTTATTAGCATATATCATATATGATTTGTTTTGTATATTATATTGTTATATTATATTATATTTATTATATCCGGTAAAAGCTATATAGTTGCATATAAAATCCCTTCTGCTTTTGTACACAGAAATGTAAACAGCTCTGTCTTGTCATTCAATAAATAGCAAAAAAGGACTTTTTAATTCAATCTGCCATTCCACTTCTTCATATCAGTTTGTTATCATGTAGACCAGACAGCTGACACAGCTGGTCCGTGATATGCTAATAAGATGTAGATATCTTAAAACGAATTATCGTCAGCATTACATATAACAGAAAAAAAAGTATTATGGAATAATTTGTTTACAATATTCTTCACATACAGTCTAATTGATAAAATGCAGTGCAAAATGCAGAGCTGTGCGTTAAATTAAACAATGAACAGATGTTTGTTTTTAAGCATGTTAAATATATACATCAACAAACAAGATTAACCCCCAAGATCATTAAAAACTGGAATCTTTTTTATTATGCCACCATTTGAATAGTATACACATTGCAAATAAAATCTCAAATGTTCTTGTCGGAGCGAGTTATTCTGTTCATGACTCTCTGGACCTCATTAAAATAATACAAAAAAAAAAGCAGTTTTGCTATACGTGAGTCAGCTACTAAACTGTAAGGAGCAAAAAAAGGCAGTGACACAAATCAATCAAAAATAAAATATTTTCTTTAACGCAGATCATGCCACTATGAAAACAGCACTGAATTTTATATTGAAACATGTTTGAGCTATACATTGGCTAGCAATAAACTCTCGATATAAAAAGACAAATGCACAGCAACATCAATTAACTTGCTCAAGGAGTTTCATTCTTATTTTTTTTTTAATGATTGGAAACGTTGCAATTGTGTCTTACATCAGTTAAAGGGACACTCCAGACTCCTAAAGCTTTGTGTGAAGAGTGTGTCTTATTTTTTTCATTTTGGAAAAAGTGCAGATTTAAATAGAAATTGGCACTTTTACAAAATAACTTAGCTACACCCCACCCCTGGGGAGGCCTGTGATTAAACAGTCACATATAGTCTGGGCAGGTTTAGAAGGGGAGGGCTTGCAAAGGCTACAGTCAAGAGATCTGCAGTTTTTGCAAGCTGTTTTAGATATAACTCCAATGGGGAAAAAAAAATGCATAATTAAAAGCATGGATGTTTTCTTTTTTAAGGTATATCTACTAAAAAGTGATTTTTATTTATTTTGTATTTGGGCAGTGGAGTGTCCCTTTAAACCCCTCATGGTACAAGCTGGTGTTTAGTAATGGTTGAATTTGTAAACTATTGCAACTTTATTTGCTGGCTACATTTGTGTAATTAGATTCACTAGGGATAGCCACAGACCTAAATTCATTCCTTTTTGGTATTGCTGACTGATATAGTTAAGCTTTTATCAAGATTTGATTATTTTTATATTGTTGTTAAACTAATTTACAATCTAATTGTTAGCTTTTCCAACCAGTGAGGACTTTTATGTTCTCTTAAAGGGGTTTGGAATATGCTGCATTTTCTAGTCACAGGTGAATCTCTAATGTGTAATCACTTCTAAGATCCCCTTGTATTATAAGACCTCAAATAGTAGTATCCATTTGACTCATTCAGGAGTTATTGTGTCTCAGTTAAAGGACCACTATAATCACTTTTCCTGGCACTATAGGGTCTTTAGTTCCCCCCCACCCTCAGGGTCCCACTCCCGCTGGGCTCAAGGGGTTAAACTCTTACCTTTCTCCAGCGCCGGGCTCCCTCGGCGCTGGGGAACTCTCCTCCCTCTTCCGACGTCAATGCTTTCCTATGGACGTCAGCGTCTTCTCACTGTGATTTTCACAGTGAGAAGCGCGGAAGCGCCTCTAGCGGCTGTCAATGAGACAGCCACTAGAGGCTGGATTAACCATATTGTAAACACAGCAGTTTACAGCTGCAGGGTTAACCCTAGATGGACCTGGAACCCAGACCACTTCCTTGAGCTGAAGTGGTCTGGGTGCCTATAGTGGTCCTTTAATGCAAGAGAGTCTTATTTTATCCATATACAATATATCGCTTTAAATATGTATTGATAGCAATATAATGCAAATAAGGTATATGGGTCTGTAAATTCAAATTTAGAAACACTGCTTTTGTGGATCCTTCGATTTTAATTTAATCACTTTTTGTTTTTTCTCACTGGATTTTGTTTTCACCTAAATTATGTGTAATTGTTAGCATCTTTTTTTTCTATTAATAAAGACTTCCAAGTAATTTTAATGGTGTCGATATTGTAATCTCAGATGAATGACTAACTAGTGGTAATCTTTGGATATCTAACTCCGGTTGGAGTTGGGTTTCTATTAGTTGGTTTGTTTAAATATTTTAGGGTTAGGCCCTTTATTGCATACTCTAGTCCAATTTTGGCAACAGGGTGAGTATTTTACACCTAACATCTGAAGCTTTTTCTTTTTTCTAGAATTTGTTAACTAGCTATAACAAATCAGTACGTTCTTACGCTGTGCTATAAACAATCCAACTGCTATGGATGACTTTGAAACTGCATGCAACTTATGTGCTCATCTTGCGGATTGGACAGTCCTATTTTGGGACCAAATTCCTCTTTCTCTATGTTTAATCATAATGTTCCTCTTTTCTAGGAGTTTAGTCTATTTAATGTACATGAGAGCATAACAAAACTTTCCAACGATTGAACTCATCAATATTTCAACTACAATAAATGTGCAAATTTGCCTTTATAAACAACACTTTTTGTTCTTGGTCTAAAATACAATTTTGTAATATAAAGGTTACATCTAAACAGTGAATGCAAAAATTGAAAAGTTCAGCTCATCAGTTATTTTAGTCCAACATTTTAAAGGGACACTATAGTCACTTGAACAACTTTAGCTTAATGAAGCAGTTTTGGTGTATAGAACATGCCCCTGGATTCTCACTGCTCAATCCTCTGCCATTTAGGAGTTAAATCCTTTTGTTTATGAACACTAGTCACACCTCCCTGCATGTGACTTGCACAGCCTTCCATAAACACTTCCTGTAAAGAGAGCCCTATTAGGCTTTCTTTATTGCAAGTTCTGTTTAATTAAGATTGCCTTATCCCCTGCTATGTTAATAGCTTGCTAGACCCCGCAAGAGCCTCCTGTATGTGATTAAAGTTCAATTTAGAGATTGACATACAATTATTTAAGGTAAATTACATCTGTTTGAAAGTGAAACCAGTTTTCTTTTTCATGCAGGCTCTGTCAATCATAGCCAAGGGAGGTGTGGCTAGGGCTGCATAAACAGAAACAAAGTGATTTAACTCATAAATGACATTGAATTGAGCAGTGAAATTGCAGGGGAATGATCAATACACTAAAACTGCTTTATTTAGCTAAAGTAATTTAGGTGACTATAGTGTTCCTTTAAATTTGTTTTTCCGTTCTCTTGGACTTTTAACGCTGGAGTTCTCATTCAGAAAATTGTTCTACTACCCAAGTATATTTGTTTGCACTCAGGTTTCACACTGCCAGACCTCTAACAGGGAATACATTGAACTTTAGTATAGCTGTGTACTGTAAAATGTATTGGTTGTTTCTGCCCTTGAGAATCTATGGTCAGAAGCTCACTCGAATGCAATATGAACACCATTATATTAATTGGATGTGATTTGTAGAGACGTGCAAGGTCTTGCTCCCAAGGACAAGAATCATTATAAATGTCTATGCTCCCTGCTGATTGCCAACATTACTGCATAGTCGAGGTATGCAAAGAGGTTACGATTTGACTAGGCTTTGCAAAATAAAAAATAGCGGACCTTGTTACTGTCACTGTGCCAGTCCGGCTCAATTAATTTAAAAGCAGCGAGAGGAGAGGAGAATGTTTTTTTAGGATATGTTGAGAGCTCTCGTTCTACCCATTTCCGTCCTGGACTTATAGTGTTTGGTCTCCTGCTTACTTGGATTTAGCAGGTGGCAAAATAACTGAAGGGACACATTTGGAAACCCGTCTGACAGTGCGTTTGGATTTCCTATTAATAGTGTATGTTCTAATTCAGAATTGATGAAAAGAGTCTGCTAATGATAAGCTTTCAGCATGCAGAGACATGACAGCTCTATTTAAATCACAGCCATT